TTTGGTGTTCACTATCTCAAACACAAGTCTGTGTATGTTCCCCCTGACCACACAGTCAGTGTGAAATTTCCCCAGGGATGGCATGTATGTATCAGAGTACAGCTTTAGCCTTGTTCTGGTCGGCTGTAAGGCTGTCTTTGGTGACAGTTTCTCTTTAAACTGGCGGCCCATAACATTGCAAGTGGCCCCTGTATCTAGCTGGCATAGCTGTCTTTTCTTATTTAGGTGTAGGTGTACAAACCATTTGCGTCCCGGTGCTTTCACATTCCCCACATATTCAGTGACATTGTATAGGTTTTCACTTGTATCCGAGTCCCCTTCAGTTTGCTGTACATCCTCAACAACATTAACTTTTCTTGTTTTCTCTGCTCTGCTGCTGGCCTGACATACTTTTGCAAAGTGATTTGAAACGCCACATGCTCGGCAGGTCTTACCATAGGCTGGGCACTGCTCTCTGCCCCGTTTGTGTCCATTTCCACAGTATTTGCAGGTCCACTGCTGCTCTCTCTCAGCCGCTGTGTTTCTTTCAGCTGTTTTCCACTGTATTTTGCGTCGTCCGCCTTGCCTGTCCACCATAGAATTAATACTGTCCACCTGTGCCTGCGGGCTCTCAATAAGCCTCATGCGTGACTCCGTCAATTCTGCAAGGCGGCAAATCTCCACAGCTGTTGGCAGCGTTAGGTCCCGTTCACGCAGCAGTCTCCGTCTGGTGCTCTCGCTGGCAATACCGAGTACCAGCCTGTCCCTAATCAGTTCATCTTTTAGGTCACGGTACTCACATGATGATGCTTTTTCCCTCAGCTTTGTTATAAAGCTATCGATCGGCTCGTCCGGTCCTTGTTTGCAGCATCCAAACGTGTATCTCTCATAAATCACATTTTTTGCCGGCTTGAAATAATCCCCCAACGCATCCAAAATTGTTTTGGGGTCTTTCTTTTGTTCCTCGGTCAGCGTGACGTTGTGCATATATATATATGCCGGCACTCGTTCCCCATAAGCCGTCTCAGCGTGGCTGCCTGCACCGCATTCGTTTTTTCGGTCAGACCTGTAGCGAGCATAAAGTCCTCAAATTCTGCTCTAAAAACCTCCCAGTTTTTGGCTATATCACCAGACATATGCATGCCCTCGGGTGCCGGAATACTGTTTGTCGTCATGACGTGAGTTTTCTTGAGTTTTTAGTCCAAGAAGACCACTTCTGACACCATGTTTCAGTCTGCAGCTTTATTCCGTAACTCACAACTCCATCACATGTATATTCCCGCGATGGCGGATATAGTACATCACAGTGTAAGCCTGTGTCAGCATGCAGTTTACTAAAGCGCCAACAGGCGTCACTATATAGCAGGCATTAACAGATGCCCATATCTGTAACAAAGTCCCCCCCACTTTTTCAAATGATTAGTTTAGACCCCCCCACTTTTACCATGTGGAAAAGTCCGTGAATCGGGCTCTCCACTCGCCGCACTTGTCGAGCGCTGTGTCAGAGCTTCACTATCAAATCCATTCCACTTGCTTATTGAGAGAATGCCCAAATCAATGAAACTCCGTACCATGTTTTCACTGCTACTTTGTACCAAGGCAGATTCTCACATAGTGCGCGAATGTTCAAGGAGTGTTGCCATAGTTGGACAGCTCAGATCTGTTGTATGAAGCGATGCCGGTAGTGGAGGTAAGGCACACACATCAAGTGTTCAGGACATTGTTAATACAGCGAAAATCAAAGCTGACGATCTCTTGGTTTGATATGTGTTCTCCCCCAGACAACATGGACATAACACATTTTTTTTTCAAAGAATAGGAAAGTAAGTCTTCAGCTGGTAGCAGTTAATCAGTTAACAGTGATGGCGGCGGCGGCAAAAGCGTCTCACTTCTGGAGAGGAGTTTCGTCTTTATATCATGATAGAGAGATACAAATACTGAATAGTTTAGATGAGAAAAGGCATCGAAATGCCAGGTTACTAGTATTTATCATGTAAACAGGGAACATGAATAACCCGATCTCTCTGTGCTCATGTAAACACCATGATGTAGCCTACTGTACAGTGTGTTTTACTGGAGCCTCAGTTCGATAAGAGATTATTGTCTGAGTTCTTTAACTTTGGTACTCTCTCTCAAAATGATAATGTGCATTATGTTTTAATTATACTTCTTATCATTCAGAAGCTTTTTGTGTGTGTTTATGTTTTACTGAGTGCTTATAGGCAATTTCCATCCCAGTATTCAGTTAACTATTTATTTTCTGCGCACATTACATAGACTAGCTAATATTCTACCTTCTGCTTGGGACTTTGAGTCTTCAAAATGTCCAATGCCACAGAGTGGGACTTACTTTAGAGTCAGTTGTATTTACATTCAGTATGACTTGTTATGATTCAATGTGAAAGAGTATACTGCTCAATAAATAATGATCACTTCACCACCTCTCTTGACATCTAGGCGCTTGAGAGTGAGTCAGAGGCAGAACACAGGGACAGTGGAGAGAGGTTCATTGCTGAGGTGAGTGATGAAAGGGAAATGACAGTTAGAGTCAATTGTGATGTGGACTCTCATCCCAGAATGTTAAGGAAATCAGTGGGGATATTGAACAGGAAGCATTTCAGTCAAGGGGCATCATATGACCAATATCAGACAGAAGAGCAACATTTAAGTCAATGATACCATTCCTAGGTGAACTTAACATCTGTATGGAGTCAGATCAGTCTCAATATTAATAAATGCTCACAGAAGGATTCACAAATGTATTTTGCGATTTATATATAAATGACTCTCCACAACAATATCTCTCAATGCACTCGCAAATATTTATTGTTGTATATAAATGTACAAAAAAATGGGCATTTAAACTGCTTTGTATTAATTCAAAGACGGCTCTGAATTAATAATCAAATATGTTTCCTTTCTTTACTACTGGATGAAATTACAAAATGTACCCATCATTTCCCTCATGCTAGTATAGCCACATAAAAGTATCAAACCACCAGAATACAGGAAATCTATTTTTTTTCGTGGGGGAGGACCCCCACACTCCCCCTTAAAAATGTCCCCCCCACATTCAGGATGCTTCCTACGCCCATGCATGTGGTACAGTGTGTAGGTGCGTGTTGTACAGTGTGTAGGTGCGTGTGTTGTAGTGTGTAGTAGTGTTGTCACAATACCAATATTTTGGTTTCGATACCGATACAGTCAAGAATTGCGATTCCGATAATTTTTCGATACTTTTCTTAAAAAAAGGGAAACAGTCTTAAATGTAATTATTGTGCTTTATTTCACACCAGAACCATAACACAAACGTTTAAACAATGAGAACAATAAATAAAATAAATGACAATAATTCGTATTAAATAAAAATAAGCATCATCTCAAACTACTTTTTTGTCAAAATAGATTTGTATATTAAACAACAGAAATGACATTCAACACAATGAGGTCTCCGACAAAACATAACCTCACTGTCAGAGATATAGCTAAAATACTTCCAAATTTCGCTTCTGGCGTCTTTTTTGTCAACAAGCCGAGGCGCAGCGGCAGTTGCACTCCCACTTGCAGCCATGCTTCTCGTTTTCTCACATGCTCTGGCAGCTAGCGCGTGCACGAGAGAGGGGAGGCACTTAGAGCGTGCTTGAGAGGGGAGGCACTTAGAGCGTGCTTGAGAGGGGAGGGACTTAGAGCGTGCTTGAGAGGGGCGGGACTGCAGGCACGGCTGCAGTGCAGGGAGTGGAAGCAGAGCGCTGAACACACACAGCTCTTATTAAAACAGCGCTTTCTCAGCGGAGTACTTTTCCCCGTCTTCCTTAAAGTACCGATTCTAATGAAACGGAGGAATCGTTTTTAACGGCAGGGTATCGCGGTACCTTTCAAGTATCGGTACACCGTGCAACACTAGTGTGTAGGTGCGTGTTGTACAGTGTATAGGTGCGTGTTGTACAGTGTATAGGTGCGTGTTGTACAGTGTGTGTGTGTGTGGTACAGTGTGTAGGTGTCCTATGCTTACTTGTAATACTTGTAAATAAAACTTTTGGCCCGTCATTTCAATTCCCCATTTCAGCGACCAGAGAGGGGGGGGGTATATCCAGTCTCTGATTGTGTTACGTTATTATGAGAGTGCTCTCATACTTCTTTGATTCTGAAATTGTATATTTATGTGTGTGTGTGTGTGTGTGTGTTGTGTGTGTGTTGTGTGTGTGTGTGTGTGTGTGTGTGTGTGTGTGTGTGTGTGTGTGTGTGTGTGTGTGTGTGTGTGTGTGTGTGTGTGTGTGTGTGTGTGTGTGTGTGTGTGTGTGTGTGTGTGTGTGTGTGTGTGTGTGTGTGTGTGTGTGTGTGTGTGTGTGTGTGTGTGTGTGTGTGTGTGTGTGTGTGTGTGTGTGTGTGTCCGCATCTGTAGCCTGTTATTGTCTCATTATACCGCACTGTCAATGAATCAAAGTAAATATATAAGTCTTCATGAACACATCTGTCCATCAGACAGACCAGGGCTGCTGTGCCTCCTGTCATCATTAATGGACGTCTCTTTAAAATGACCTCTCAGCGGAGAGGAGTTCTCATTTCTCTAACTGCCTGCTGCTTCCCCTCCTGAGTCCTCCGCTCGCATCTCCTGTGGGCGGGACTAAGACACGAGGATAGGAGTCGAGGAGGGAATTTAGAGAAATGAGAAACCTTCATGGGCTCACCAGCTGGAACAAGGAAGACAAAATGTGTCTTTTACTAATCAGAATACCTTTATTCGTCCCACAGAGGGGAAATGTACATAGTTACAGCAAAAGTGAAGATTGAGACAAAATCAAACACTATTAGATAAAAGGGCATGCACAAAAATAAAAAATTAGGAAAATGTAATAATTTACATTCGAAGTACATTTACATTTCTAATAATTTAAAGATTCAATTAAAAGTACGACTACCATACCTTATCACCTGTAAAACGATTTTAGATATTTTACAGATAGGTAACGTCTGGATCATGAGTCATTGCTGTCCTAATCCTTCTCTCCCGTCTCTTTCAGGCGTTGCTGTCGTCTGAGGAGGGGCTCAGACTGGAGGAGCATCTGAGAGACCCTGCAGTCACAGCCGGCTGAGGACCAACCCTTCAAAATTCAGGCTGCAGTTCATAGACTCTGGATCAGTCCTGAGCGCCGTGGTACACAAGTCAACAGCACCAGGTCTTAACACACAGAGAGAGAATGACTCTGCTGACGCGCTTCCTAAATAATGTGATACTCCTCAAACCTGACTGATGGAGCACTCGTACGGATAAAAAAAGCTACGAGTGTTTCTTTGGTTGTGTGCGGGTTTTGTCTCGTGCCATGTTTTTTAATAGTCTTGAATGCATTACTAAACCATTCCAGTGTAAAGATGTAAACTGACAACTTCTCCATACTGCAGCGGTGTCCCTTCAAAATACAACACAACAGGAAAGAAGCAGGTCAAGGTTTCCTGTGAACCTCAAGCCTTATTGGTTAGTTCTTATTTCAGGTTTCACTATATTAGTACTACCACAGCAGTGCCAACGGAGCCCCGCGCCCCCCCTGAAATTCAAGGTGTTTATTTTTTTTAATAATACATATTTATACCACCAAATTGCAACCAATCTATTTACTGTCACTTTTCACATTGAACATGTGCTCTTTTCTTAAATACACTTTCATTTGAAGTTTTTGACCCTAAGAAACACTGATGCATTCATCAATAACAATAATCCACAGCTCCTCTCTCTGCTCCAGAGGATTACAAAAAATAAAAGATCCCAACAACACTGATTTGCTAACACAACATCGCACTGCTAGCTAGCGAACGATTGTCACTTTGGGTGAGGGCATAGCAACCGTCGTCAATGCTAGCCGTAATGCTAGTCGTATTTCAAATAATGCGTAAAAGGGATTGCAGTGCATCAAGAAGAATGTCAGAATTGAGACACAACTCAGGCTTCTCAGCATTTGATTGAAAACATTACCTTTTTTAAGCAACTTTTTTTTGCGATGAAGCACCCCTACCGTTATGTGTAGCAATTCACGTATACACCGCTGTCGTCAATACTACAAACTGTTTTACACCAATCAGCTCAGTGCCGTAAAGCCTTACGCACTTCTTCTGGAAGATCACCAAAGAACATACAGACCGACAGACACCACTCTCCATTTTACAAGTCAGTGTAGCATCACAATGGTTTTAAAGCTCTTTTTTTAAGCTAAAATATGTAGATAATGTTTCTGTAATTCTGATCTGGTGTAAATGAACTACTTTCAGTGGAATGTTATTTGTGGTTTCAGGCTTGATTTGTCATGTCAGGAAATGTACAGTTCACACAACTGCATAGAACTGAACATTCACAGAACAGTGATGTTAACCGTACCAGATTGTGGACAATCAAGTTGAAACTCAACAGTAGAAAAATGCAAAAAATAACATACATATTCATTACTGGTGAAGTCAACAATTATAATGGTGCGTTCACACCTGAAACAAAGCTAATATTTGCCTTGAGTGAAAACGTGAAAAAAGGCGAGGCTTATCTCCAATGAGATGCCAACAACGTTTGGTCCGAGAAAAATAACCACTCTTGCTGCTTTGTGCATCTTGTGAAAGTCCTAGATACGACATGGAAACCCAACGGTCTGGTGTTTGGAACATAGATTATCCAGACAAACAAGACGACTGAATCAATGTTGTTTACTACAGTCATATGAACCCAACATTAACATATTTCCTGTGATTTTTTTTGCAATAAATGTATCAAAAGGATGGCGAAATAATGACCTAATGATATTGAGAAGTAAAAAGCCTGAATCGATGCTTTTTCACGTCTGTCTGCCATACTTCCAGAAAAAAAGGTTTCAAATACTTTAAGGTTTGTTTTAGGGCTAGCTAAGCTACCATTGCAACTGTTCCAACAGAACCCAAAATAATGCAATGTGACATAAATAAAGCAGCGTCTTTATTTGTCATGCCATAGAGAATATATATGGTTGCACGCATACATTTATAAAAATCGATTTTTGCAAGACAGCGTCAAGCCAATTATTCAAATTTCGCGCCTTTACTTCCTCCTTGCTGCAGCATTAGCGTGATCTGTTGCGAATGAGCTTCTATCCATGTCTTTGCATTGACTGTATGTAATCGCACCACGTGAACAATTCCCTTCATGTCCAGTGTGAAAGCACCGTTAGTTGAAGACCTATCACACGTTAACATGGTACCACATAGTCTTAGTCAACGTAACGTGGCATACAAAATAGGGCCAAACATGTCAAAGTGTCATGTCTCTGCTGCCTGGTGAGCCCAAACCTTTGAATCACTGTTATTCTTACTCTTGCCTTCCCGAGTACCAACAAGAGCTTTGCTGAGCAACATTATTCAATCATTGCCGTTAGGCTGTTACGTTGACCAATAATGTCGAGCCACAGGAAACACATTTGGGAGCATGATCTGTGGATTTATTTACAAATTCATATGCTCTCCTTAGTACTTCCAGCCGCATGTTTAAGTGTTAAAGGAGGGAAATGTTAACACTAGAGTTGTTGATCATCATTGGGATTGTCTTTGATGTCTTTTCATGAGAAGCACAGAACAGCCTCGTACAGTGTGTCCTGCAGAAACCACCACTGCCAAAGAGTCCTAAACTGAAATATGATTGATCTTCTCTGTAACACCTATGCACTTTTGATATGTATCAATGCATTCATTAGCAGTGGTGTTTTTGTCCCACAGGTGTGAAGTGCTTTCTACACGCTGGAGATAACACCAGCTGTCACAATAAGGAAAAAGGCACAAAATACCGAACGGATTATCTGCAGCTCACAGATGCATTGTGGTTGATACGTGGTATTGTCTCTGTGATACACTATTTGCTAATGTTGTCAGTCCTTTGCACTTGTCCAACTGTTTAAGAGAAGCTGACGTCAGGAGGCTGCACACTGGTAGTGTAGAATTTTCTGAATTCAATTTTTTCTCGACTTGTATCCGTTCCTGGAGTTTTATTTCAGCTACTGCGCAGAAGTGAAGAGATGTTTCAGAAATACTCATATGTTCTTTAGAATTTGAAGAAAGAATGTGTTTTTGAAAGATTATTGCATTGATATGGAAAAAGAAAAGAATTGAGTAAAAAAATGTTGGATACTCTATGTTTTATTTGTGGAAATAAACTTTGACTCACTTTTTAAACTTCTTGAATGTGGCCTTGTACACAGTGTTTTTTTTTAACACATCCAGCCGTTTAAGAAAAACATGATCCTTCCTTACAGGTCTGTTTTTGTGTCCTCTTGTAAATACTCGTTCAGCTCTATTTTTGGTCTCCAGCTCCTCCGTCTCTTAAGCTGCTTCTCCTCTGTGCTCTCCAGCTAGTCTCTATCTTTCTGTTTGCAGCTGAGCAGGAAGTGTACAGCTTTTTCTTAGGAAACTACTGCTGCAGGACCAATCGATGCCATGTTTAGTCATATTAATCTGCAGAAAGAAGTCTGGTAGATTTGTTAGCTTAACTTTTCCCTATTCATGGCTGCATTCCGGATCTCATACTTTCCGGTTTTCTTTAATCTGCAGCTGCCCTCACAAAGAACCTACTGTGTCATGCAGTATGCATACAATTGAGACACGCTACATTGTTATGACTTTGCAACTTGAACCCTGTGGCTTTAATATCCGCTGCCCCAAAGTATTGTGGGTCATAATAGCCAGAAATCCTTCCGGCTTGCTAAGTGCAAAACATGACTGGATGCAGGATCCTGTTATCTTTGGCTCACTGCCTTTTAATAAATACTGGGACATATCAACTGTTTCTCTGGCATACTGGCAGCAAAGGTTTGTCCCTCAACATTTTGGAAAAATTACTTAATAATGCAACAATGTATCAATCTTCAATAATATTACTTAATTTCCTAATATGCACCTTTGTTCAATAATTACTCAATTTTCGAAGAATTAAATTACTTATTTTTCCAAAAATTATTTACTTGTTTTTTTTTGTTTTTTTTAACTCACTTTTAAAAAAAAAACTCTGATAATAAACCTCACTTATTAAAAATGTTTTTATTAAATGACCACTTTTTTCTACATTTTTCAAAATGATATTTATAATGTCCCCCAAAAATCACGACATTTTCAAAGAATGCCCTTAACTTTTCAAAAATTACATCCATTATAACCCTATTTTTTTAAATAGTTGACTCTCTTGAAAACCTACTTAACATTTAAAACATATTTTTTCAGAAAAATCCAGACTTAGGTTTGGTTGTGACAACAAAATGTGAAGTCCATTTGAAATGCTGGTCTTAACAAAAACGAATAAGCAGTTATAGATCGTCTTAGCAAAGACCAGTTGGTGCTACCAGCTCCAGTGACTCAATGTAGCCTATTTACAAGACAGTGGGACAATTATTATTATTATGAACTGGTTTAATTAAGAAAACCCAACGCCAAGTCAACATAAGAGGGTCATAGAGACATATCGGTAGTGTGTTGGCATTGGCAATGGCATCCTAGAAAAATATGACCAAAAACCAAATGTATAAATAATATAGACCCAATTATATTGTATTTTGTTCTCCACAATCCCTGCCTGTTATTATGGATAAACAGACTTTAGTGAAACTTTACAAATGTCTATGGATGGAAAAGACACTCATTTGTGATGTCATAGCTTTCCTCCACCACCAGAGGGCAGAGCAGGACAAACATCTGAGAGAAACAACAGCTTCCTTCCTTTCAGCTCCAAATCTCTGTGAATGGGCCAGAAAATGTTCAACTACTGATACATTGCTTATATACTGTATACAGTATGAAGTAAGCAGTGGATCTTGTAGAGTCTCTCCTTTGTATGGGTGAAATATAAGGCATATTATGTTGTATAGATTACTTCTGATTTTAGAAGACAGCTGTGTGGGAGCAATAAAAAGTTCCTCCACTCTGCAGCTGGTGTGGTAAGAAGTGTTTGTGGGGGAGAATGGAGGGAGGGGGGGCTTTTCAGGTGCTAAGAAGCATTCGAAAGTGTGTCATGTTGCATGAATTATTGAACCACTGTGACCATCTTGATCCAGTGACAGACAAACCAGACACGTTTTTATTCATATGTTAAATCCTATACTGGCTGGGAAAAAATGTCATTGGCAGTCATTAATACCAGCCAAAGTTGAAGTGTAAGTTCATTTTGGAAGTCTTTTTTAGCAGTGCCGGGAAGCGGCTGTGTAAAGCTAGCAACTTTTGCAACTGCCAAAGTCCTTTCAAAATAAAATGGGTTTTAAAAAAACTAAACTTAAAGTTGGACTTCAGTTTTCAAAATGATGTATTTATTTATTAAAGTTGTAGTAGGCTTAGAGGAGGAACTTTATTAACACATGAGAGGTTTCTCAATTCTTAAATGTCCCCTCCTCGACTCCTATCCTCGAGATTTAGTGCCGCCCACAGGAGATGCGAGCGTAGGACTGAGGAGGGGAACCGAGGAGAGAGGAGGGGAAGCAGCAGGCAGTTAGAGAAATGAGAACTCCTCTCCTCTGAGAGGTCATTTTAAAGAGACGTCCATTAATGATGACAGGAGGCACAGCAGCCCTGGTCTGGTCTGATGGACAGATGTGTTCATGAAGACTTATACATTTACTTTGATTCATTGACAGTGCGGTAGGCTATAATGAGACAATAACAGGCTACAGATGCGGACACGCGCACACACACACACACACACACACACACACACACACACACACACACACACACACACACACACACACACACACACACACACACACACACACACACACACACACACACACACACACACAGGGTTGGGTTGTAACGGAATACATGTAACGGCGTTACGTAATCAGAATACAAAAATCAAGTAGGCTAACTGTATTCAGCACGCGTTACATTTGAAAAACGAGTAATCCAGTGGCGAGCCGTCAGGGCCTTCTAGGCCCTCTGTGAGGGCCTAAGATATTCTACAAAATAATATTTAAAAACATTAAAAAAAAAAAAAATGTAAAAAAAAAAAGTATATATTTTTGTAGTTATATTTTTCATTAGTTTTACCAAAATAACTTGATTTAATTGTATTTAAAATAACATTTCCAAAGAAATAAATCCTTCGAATCTGCCTATTCAGTTTATGTTGGAATGTGAAGGGTTAAATGAAAGAATCTCGTCTCTGCGAGTTACTGTGAAGAGAGGAGCTGTTGGACGTCCAGGCGGTCCAGCTATGAATTCACAGAGGGCCCCGCTATAGTAACTGAACGAGAGAGTAATGTCAAATGACAGTACAATTGACCAATCATATCTTCCCTCTAAATGGGTGGGTGTTATTATCGCGGACTTTATGACAAGTTCCGCCCGCTGTGAAACTTTTCTTGTTTCCATAACAACAACAACTTCCTGTCAATAGCGTTAACTCGCCTTCAAAATAAAAGCATGCCAAATTACACTTAAGACATACAACTGCAACGAAAGTAACAAACACAATGCAATATCCTTTTCAATTTCAAAGAACACAAATAAGGTTATTTACAGGTGTTGTTTTGTGTGGTAGAGGGTCGCTTTCATTGATGCGTTTTGCACCCCTGGCCGTTGTTTTGATATTCCGCTGAAGTATACACTGTGACGTAATAACTCGAGGGAAGGGGTGGGGGTCAGAGGGCCTAGGTATACAAGTCACGGCTCGCCACTGGAGTAATCTGATTACAGTTACTTTCGTAAACCTGAGGTGAATACATTTTGGATTACTTATTGGAACTATTGGTGGAAAGATTTCCTCACAACATTTAATATTCATTACTAAAGGTACAGCCGAATCATCAAAGCCCACAAAACCTATTACCGCCGCAGATGGACCAAAAAAGCGTTTGAAAAAAATAATCGCGGGTCCGCTCGGTGAAACAATAACAACGAAACATGGAGGAACAAAAGTCTGCGTTTAAATCGCGTGTGTGTGTGGTTAAAACACATCAGCCTGCGGTCGCTCTTTAGCCTTACTAATGATTATTTCTGAAGGTAAACACAGTGAAGGCGGTGCGTGAAAGGCACTGCGCGCTCGTCTTCTCAGAGGCTGAGTTAACCCTCCCGCTGCCTCCTGGTACTGCAGAGATTTCATGAAGTGAAGGAGGTTTTCCTTCTATAAAACAGCTGTGGGCAGCAGATACTGTGAGTGTCACGGACATGCATACATAGATCAAGGCAGATTGGTGCACACACTCTCCTCTCCTGTTTTGCCAATCCGGTGCTTAAACAAATATAGCTCTACACCCAGGGTCGGCGTCATGGGGGGTCATTCGCGGGCCATGCCCCCCCAAATGAGTCACTGTGCCCCCCCAACGCAGGGTGGGCAAGCCTTATTGCCACTTTGCCGGTTTTTTTTTTTTTTAATCATATAAGTTAAAACGTTTCCACCAAAAGTGTTTTGTGTGAAATACATCAGAAATAAAGAATACACATGTGTATTCTTTATTTATTCTTTATATGAAACACAGCCTGAGGTGTGCTCACTGCTGCTCTCTGATTGGTGTGTTGCTTGACCAATGACCCCGACTTTTGTTTTGTTATCATTACGTGGCTGTGTGTTTAGATGAAAGCCCAGTGGCGATCTGTCCATCTGTTATACTGATTATACAGTAAAGCCATCGAAAATAATATGATATACAGTACAGTACAAGTACATGGGTCTCTGTGTTTAATTCAAGCACGGCTCTGTGTGTGTGTGGCACGAGCGCATTTTGTCAGTGCGCGAGCGGTAACGTGGAATATTGTTGTTAGCATCTGGTGAGCTAGCTATGCTAACGGATATAAAGAGCTGTTTCTACACCAAGGTGGAGGAGAGTCCTCTCCTGTCAGACTGAGAGGATCTTATAACGTCAGCTCAGTGAGGTAAAGGACTCTCAGTGTTTAGATAGTTCACTTTAGTGTAAGTTATCTCAGTGGGTCTCAAACGGTTTGGTGACCATTTATGTAAACAAGTATTTGCGAGGAATAGGCTACCTTTATATGATCATTATAGTCATTAAAGAATAAGAGAATAAATGAAAAACGGGTATGACCTACTATAGGACAATAACACAAGAATACCATTTAAAAGGGGAGTGATTAGTAAAATATCCATAAAGAAAAAGTAAATCTGTGTACAGTTCTGTTTCATATGGATGTTGAGAGATGTATCCATAGATCTCTTCATTTTGCTCTCAAAGTGCACCAGAATG